ATTTGCAGATGACATGATACTATACGTAGAAAACCCCAAAGACTCCATCAAAAGTTTACTAGACTTAAATGAATTTCGCAAAGTAGCAGGATACAAAATTAACGTCAAGAAATCAATGGCATTCTTATATACCAATGACAAACTCACAGAAAGAGAAACTAAGAAAACAATCCCATTTACCATTGCGGCAAAAAAATTAAGATACCTAGGAATAAACTTAACCAAAGAAATAAAGGACCTATTCGCAGAAAACTACAGGTCATTGAATAAAGAAATAGAGGAAGATAGGACTTCCGGTCAAGATGGCGGCGTAGGGAAACGCAGTATCGCGTTCTCCCACAACCACATCCAAGTTACAACAAAACTACAGAACAACCATCATCCAAAACCGCCTGAAATCAAGCTGAATGGAAGTCCTACAACTACGGAATTAAAAAAAAAGGCAGCTACATCCAGACTGGTAGGAGGGGCGGCGGCGCGAGGGGTGGCGGCAGCGGCACGGCGGCGGCGCGACGGGCTGGTCCCACACCCAAGTGTGGCGGATAAAAATCAGGAGGCTCCCGAGGCTGGGAAGGTCCTTCCTGAGGACTGAGGGGTCCCCGTCCCACACCAGGTGCCCCGCTCAGGTTTCCAGTGCCAGGAAGAGAAGTCCCCATAACTTCTGGCTGGAAAAACCAGCAGAAACTGAGGCTCAGGGAAGCTGACCTGGCTGGAGCCACAGGCAGCTCCCTAAAGGGCCCGCGCACAGACTGGTCGGACTCTCTCCCTCTAAGCTCGGAGGGGAGGCAGCTCCAGGGGCACCAGAGAAATACAGGGAGGAACTGAGCTGTTTGGCACTGGAGCGAGGGCTGGAGAGGGGGCTTTCTCGGGGACAAACGTGCTGTCAGAGGCCTTTGTTCCTTTGGTGAGCCCTTCCCTGGGGCGGCAGACAGTCGCCATATCTGGGACTCCAGCAACCTGGCTCACACTGGTAGCCCCGCCCTGCTGACTCCCTGAGGCCCCGCCCCACCCAACTTTCAGGCCCACCCAAGCTGTTGCTACTTGCTTAACCATAGGATTGGCCTGTCTTGGGTCCTGCTTCAGGTTTTTCCTAAATTCTTTCAAACGAGCAGCATCGGGTCTCAGCGAGCCCCATACCTCTCATTAAGTAATACACAGAAACAAACACAGGAAGGCAGCAAAATGAGGAGACAAAGAAACAGGTCCCAAATGAAAGAACAGAACAAAACCCCAAGAAAAGAACTAAGCGAAATGGAGATAAGCAACCTAACAGATGCTGAGTTCAAAATACTGCTTATAAGGATGCTCAATGAACTCAGTGAGGGCCTCAAGAGCATAAAAAAGTACCAGTCAGAAACGATCGCTGCACAGTTAGAAACGAAGGAGGCTTTAACTGAAATAAAGAATAATTTACATAGCTTCAATAATAGAGTACGTAAATCCAAGGAGCAAACCATCGATTTGGAATATAAGGAAGCAAAAAACGCCCAACCAGAACAGCAAAAAGAAAAAAGAATCCAAAAAAATGAGGATAGTGTAAGGAGCCTCTGGGACAACTTCAAGCGTGCCAACATTCGCATCTTGGGGGTGCCGGAAGGAGAAGAGAGAGAACAAGAAATCGAAAACCTGTTTGAAACAATAATGGCAGAAAACTTTCCTAACTTGGTGAAGGAAACAGACATACAAGTCCAGGAAGCACAGAGAGTCCCAAACAAGATGAACCCCAAGAGGCCCACACCAAGACACATCATCATCAAAATGCAAAAGGTTCAAGACAAAGAGAGAATCCTAAAAGCAGCAAGAGAAAGGCAGCTAGTTACCTACAAGGGAGTTCCCATTAGGCTGTCAGCTGATTTCTCAAAAGAAACTTTGCAGGCCAGAAGGGAGTGGCAAGAAATATTCAGAGTGATGAAAACCAAGAACCTACAACCAAAATTACTCTATCCTGCAAAGCTGTCATTTAGAATCGATGGACATATAAAAACTTTCCCAGACAAGAAAAAGTTAAAGGAGTTCATCACTACCAAACCGTTATTATATGAAATGATGAAGGGTCTTTTTAAAGAAAAAGATAAAATGTAGGAACAAACAAAATGGCAATGAATACATATCTATCAACAATGGAATCTACAAACAAAATGAACAGGAAGAACAGGAACATTCTCATAGATACAGAGAATATTTTGTTGGTTGCCAGTTGGGAAAGGGGTTGGGGGAATGGATGAAAAAGGTGAAGGGATTAAGAAGCACAAATTCATTGCTAGACTGACAAACCTCAAAGGGAAAGGGGTTGGGGGGGTGGGAAGAAATAAACCAAAGAACTTATATGCATAACCAATGGACACGGACAATAGTATGGGAAAAGGTGGGAGGGGGGCGGGAGTGGGGAGGAGGGGGTCAATGGGGGAATTCTTTTAATAAAAAAATTTTAAAAAAATAAAAAAAAAATAAAAAAAAAAAAAAAAAAGAAATAGAGGAAGATATAAAAAGTGGAAGCACATACCCTGTTCATAGATTGGGAGAATTAACATCATTAAAATGTCCATATTACCCAAAGCAATCTATAGATTCAACCCAATCCCCATCAAAATACCAACGACATATTTCATAGAACTAGAACAAATACTTCAAAAGTTCATATGGAACCAAAAAAGACCCCGAATAGCCACAGCAATCTTGAAGAGGAAGAACAAAGTTGGAGAGATCACAATACCAGATATCAGGTTATACTACAAAGCCACTGTAATCAAAACAGCCTGGTACTGGCACAAGAACAGGCATATAGACCAGTGGAACAGAACAGAGAACCCAGAAATGAACCCAAGGTAATATGCTCAACTAATATTTGACAAAGGTGGCAAGAGCATACAGTGGAGTAAGGACAGCCTCTTTAATAAATGGTACTGGGAAAATTGGACAGCTACTTGCAGAAAAATGAAACTAGACCATCAACTGACACCCTACACGAGAATAAACTCAAAATGGATAAAAGACTTAATTGTAACTCATGAATCCATAAAAATCCTAGAAGAGACTGTAGGCAACAAAATTTCAGACATCATACGCAGCAGAATTTTTATTGACACATCACCTAACGCAATAGAAACAAAGGAGAAAATGAACACATGGGATTACATCAAACACAAAAGCTTCTGCACATCGAAAGATACAATCATCAAAACTGAAAGGCTACCCACTGTATGGAAGAGCATAATTGCCAATGATATATCAGATAAGGGGTTAATTTCCAATGAATATAGAGTGCTCATACAACTCCACAAAAAGAAGACAAAGAATCCAATTAAATAATGGGCAGAGGAACTAAATAGACACCTCTCCAAACAGGACATACAAATGGCTAAGAAACATATGAAGAAATGCTCATCATCACTAATCATCAGAGAGATGCAAATTAAAACAACAATGAGGTATCACCTCACACCTGTCAGAATGGCCGCCATCAACAAATCATCAAACAACAAGTGTTGGCGAGGGTGTGGAGAAAAGGGGACTCTAGTGCACTGCTGGTGGGAAAGCAGACTGGTGCAGCCACTATGGAAAACAATATGGTGTTACCTCAAAAAATTAAAAATTGAAATTTCATTTGACCCAGTGATCCCACTTCTAGGAATATACCCTAAGAAGCCTAAAACACCAATCAGAAAGAATGTATGTACACCCATGTTTGTAGCAGCACTATTTACAATCGCTAAGATCTGGAAACAGCCCAAGTGTCCATCCGTAGACGAATGGATAAAAAAGCTGTGGTACATATACACAATGGAGTACTACGCAGCTGTAAGAAAGAAAGATCTCTTATCCTTTGAGACTACATGGAGGGACCTGGAAAGTATCATCCTAAGTGAAACAAGCCAAACACAGAAAGACAAGTTTCATATGATCTCACTTATTTGTGGAATATAATGAACATAACAGTCTGAGGAATGGGGTAGTCCCAGAGACACGGAAGTGGGATACAGATTGACAATCCCCTAAAGAGGGGGGTGATGGGGGAGAAATAAACCACAGAATTTATATGCATGTATGCATGAACAGTGGACATGGACAACAAACTGGGGAAAGTGCAGGGAGGGAGGGGGAGGGGGGAATCAGTGGGGGGAAAAAGGAGAAACATCTGTAACAAAAACTAATTAATAAAAAAAATTTTTTTAAAAAAAGAAGTACAAATTCATTGCTAGACTGACAAACCTCAAAGGGAAAGGGGTTGGAAGATGGAAAGAAATAAACCAAAGAACTTATATACATAACCAATGGACACAGACAATAGTGTGGGAAAAGGTGGGAGGGGGGTGGGACAGGGGAGGAGGGGTTCAATGGGGGGAAAATGAGGAACATATGAAATACATATAACAATAAAGATTTAAAAAAAAGAACCAGTGCTACAAAGGAGAGCTATATAGACACAAACCACCTTTGTCCTTCCATATTTCGCCAAAACAGGCCCTGGAACTTAAGGAATCCTAGATACCAGAATCCATCAGAACCATTTCCTTACATTTGTAATTTCCCAAAGTCAAGAACATTACCTGTAAATCTTATTTTTAAAATTTATCAAAAAGACAGTGCCACATGAACAACAGGTTTAACTCAAATACAAAGTTACTCTACTATTGCCCTGGCCAGTTTGGCTCAGTGGCTAGAGCGTTAGCCCTTGGACCAAAGAGTCGAGGGTTCAATTCGGGTCAAGGGCACATGCCTCAGTTGTGGCTCGGTCCCTGGCCCTGGTTGGGATCATGCAGGAGGCAACCAACTGATGTTTCTGTCTCTCTCTCCCTCCGTCTCTCACTTCAACTCTATTTGAAAATCAATAGAAAAATATCCTCTGTTGAGGATTAAAAAAATAAAACATGAATAGTTACTCTACTATGACTTTTTCTTAGAAAAATAAGACATCTGAAATCTTTTATGATAAAAAGAAATAAGTAACTTGAGATTCTATTCTTTCACCAAAATGTCTAGTCTAATGCATTTCTACTCACCTACAGCATTATTTCCAACAGCAATTATAAACTTGGAGCAAGGATATTTTTCCAGCAGGGAAACGTCCAAAGATGTTTTCGTTTGTCTTCGAAGAATCCGTACCTCTCTAACACAAGAAACAAAAGATAAAACTAAAACAACTTAAATATAAATAGTACCTTTTTATAGTAAAAAGAATACTTAATATAAGTACGATTTTATATTCAATAAAACACAAATTTTGATTTTATAAAGAACAAAATTATAATCCTGAGGAAACAATGGAATTAGGTGATGATAACATAGAAAACCATTCGATACAAAGTTCCTGGAGAACTCTACAACAGACAGCAGGCTGTCCACCTGACCCACCGACCAATCTTAGCATCCCTAAAAGTGGGACAACCTGACACTGCGTGCCATAAGGAACACCAACCACCACCTTCAAAGCATTCTTGCCAGCAAAATATTGAATCTGAATCTGACCAAGCCTCTAGAAGGACCTTCCATTTACAGAAAATGCAGGTGATGGATACATGGTAAAGGACACCAAAAGGAAGCAATCAGACAAATCCAGCGTGCGGGACTTCCTACAGGACAACCAGTCTCAGCAAGGGAGAAAACGGAGGGGGACTGCTCTAAATGAAAGAAACCTGGAGAGACAAAATGTCTAGGATTTTGATTTACACAAATGTACTATAAAATGTGATGTCTGAGACAACTAGATACATTTGATCATGGACTGGCCATCATATAGTATCAAAAGTTATTTATTGTTAGGAGTGATGATGGCATCTGGAAGAAAATGCCTGCAACATTTGAGCTGCATCCTGGAAAATGTACAGGTGAAAGGCCATACTGACTTGGACTCGCTTAGGGTGGTGGCAGATAAACATGGCAAAATCGTCATTTCGCTGTTTTCTCCAATGTGTGTGTGTTTGGGAACAACACTTTGTAGCACGAGACATCCACCTGCCACTGACACACATAATGCTAACGGTAGTGTAGGCCGGAGAAGAAAGTTTGAAGAGCGTTGTCTCACATCCACGAAGCAAATACACGACAAACGTGGGGCAAGAAGATACAGCACTGCAGCCCTGGAAACGTTACAAGGCGGCAGGAACCACCTTCAGTCCGTGCTGAAGGGAGCCCGGCAGGCAGTTCCGTCGGAGAGCACGCGAGCCCAAGCCGTCCCGGAATCCGCAGCAGCCCGACACGAGCCCGCCTCCCCGCACAGCGCTGGAGCTGGTTTTGCCAGACCCACCGCGGGCTCCGCGAGGCCCCAGGCAGCCCCGGGCCGCGGACGAGCGGCAACCACCGGCGCCCTGCGCACCTGCCCCCGCGACAGCCGCGGCCCGGGGCTGGGGCCGATGGGCGCAGGCCCGAGCGCGCCGCCGGCTCCCCGCGCCCAGGACTCACCTCTTCCGCGCCAGCTTCCGCCGGACCTCCCTGTCCTCGGGCGTCTCGGTGTTCCCCTCGTCCTCCTCCTCGTCCTCCGTCCCAGCTCGGCACGGCGCCTTCACCACCTCACCGAAAAACGTGGCCGCCATGGTCTCCCTCCCACCGCCGCGCCCCGCCCAGCAGCGGCGCCCCAGGGAGGCGCAGGCGTCCCCTGCGCACCAACCCGCCCCCGCAACCCCGCGCACGCGCCCCAGAGCATCGCCGCGCCCTCCACGCCTGGCCCCCGAGCCCGGCCCCTACGTGCGGCTGCTCCGCCTCCTGCCCCGCCTCCTGCCCCGCCCCCACGCACGCGCCGCGGGACCCAGAAGTCCCGCAAAAGCAGAGGGTTTTCTCCCTCGGCTGGAGCCCGGCAGGGAGACCGAGAGATCGGATGACTGCGGGCTAGAGAGGCAGAGGCAGAGGCTGGCGCGGGGCGGGGCGGGGCGGGGCGGGGCGGGGCGGGGCGGGGCGGGGCGGGGCGGGGCGCGGGGAGGCGCCTGCTGTCCGGACAGGTAACCGACCCGGGAAGGGAAGGAGCACGCCGCCCCCTTCCCCGGCAGTGGCGCTCCAAAAAGAGGCGGGCCCCTCTGTCTTTCCCTCCCTCGCTCCTTTTCCGTTTTCCTCCTCCGTTTGGAGTGACACGCCGAGTTTTAATTTATTAATCACCTGGCTCCAGACCGCGATCGCTCGCGGGTAGGTGTCGCCCCGGTCCCGGCGCGTCCACGGGCTAGTGGACGGAGGGGGGATGGAAGGGCAGGAAGAAACACAGTGCTTCGCGGTGTTATAAAAATGAGACCTTTACTCCGGCAGTAGGAATTCACATTTCAAAAGCTGATGATCGTCAAGCTAATCTAAAAGACTTTATGAGACTGCAAAAATATTAGTTTCTTTTTAAAAATTTGGCCGTTTCTAATACAAAATGTTTCTGCTTTAAATATCCTTTCACTAATAATCAGCACAGTAGTGTATAATTGGTTCTCTTTAAAATTTGCTGGAAGACACAGTTCACAGAGCACAATTCCAAGCAGGAGAAAAAAAGGACAACTGTACCATAGTTCAAATAAAAATGAAAATATCCGGTATTGCAATGCAAAATTAAAAAACACTGACCTAGATTTAGTAGTGCTGAAACTAAATAGCATTGCTTACATTTTGGAATGTGGGGTAGGGGAAGACTCTTGAGATAAATTTTTTAAAATCTCAGAAAGTTGCTAGAAACATCTTGTTTTAAGATGTGGAGAAACAATGATCAACGAAAACCATTTACATAAAACCAGTACTTAGCAATTTTACACATTACTGCAAAATGTAAGACTGGGCTTTGAAGCAAAATTGAACACTTTAAGAATAACAGTAACACCAAATTGCTATCCTGTAAGAATTTAGGAAACAAGGTATAGTTAGTGAGCTAGAATACACAAGATTACCAATGTAATGTTTTAAAATGGCATTAAGACTCCTGGGTTAATTGGCTTTACAGAATGACTAAATAGCAGAATAAAAAGGTTTGGGTATCACTTTGTCTCAGTCCTTTTGTTGAATAAAACTGTCATTTTCACCATTAAGATCCTCAATTTGATTTCACAATTGTATTATGAAGAAATCATTTCTGGAAATCTGATTAAAATTATAAGTAGGGTAATGATAATACATTTGGCCATGATTAAAATTCTACATACATTTTAGAGAGCATTTTTACAAGAATGTTAAGATTTAAACAAACACTTATTTCATGCAATTACAGTTAAATTTAGGCCAAGCACTTAAAAAAAGGCAAATATATATTCAAATTAAATACTAAACCAGAGAAGGGTTCCATTACTAAAGAAGGCTTATAGTATAATCTCAAATGTTGAACAGAAACTAACCCCACCACAGTAAATTATAAATTTAAAATTAAAATCCTTTCATTACACTGAAATTGTCAAAAAATTTTGCATAAAATAATCTTGACTGAGACTTAAATATTTTCATTTTGTGGTATTTGTTGATGATGTAACTTACTCAATAAGAAATTTCTATGAAATTAAGTGTAAATATGGGACTGGAAATAGGTTTAATTTCATTAGAGATCAAAAATCAAACCCCATGCATCTAAAAATATCATTTATTAGGAATTCTGCCCTTTCTCATCTGCACTAGTAACAAGATACTGGTATCAGTATATCAGATGAAAGTATACTATAAACAGCAAAGGACACAAACTGTAGGGTAGAAATATTCTGGCTTATGCTAAAAAAAAAAAACAAACAAAAAAAACCAGCCTTTTTTTAAGCAGACATGCAACCACAAACAAATTTCTCAAGTAATCTAGACACTTGGCCAATCTGTATAACAAAAAAAATATGCATTATATTAGTCTTTTAATGAAAAAGGGCGAGAAACCCTTTGGTTTCCATATTTTACTTTTTCAGATTTATACATGCAAATCATATATTAATATTCACAGATACTTTTAAATGGGAAAACAACATCTAACAATTCAGTTTTCCAGTAGCATGTTCTGTGTTAAAAAGATTTGACAGTGCGTCCATTTAATCTGGTTATTTTAATTTCAACAAATACCTATAAGCAACAAATCAAACCTCATTGCAAGGAAATTCTTTATAGTATCAAGACCAGATTTTCTAATCCTATTGAAGGCCACAATGAAATAGCCCAGGCATACTGTCATAAAGTTTATTGTGGTGAGACTGTAATAAATTTGCTCAAAGTGTTCATAAAGTTCTAACTTTTAAGGAGCTGTAGAGAAACAGAGAATGTCACTGTATCATCTAAAAATATGACTGTTTTAATCTTAATCTGTACTTTTTATTTTCTAATTTATTAAAACTAAGACCTGCCTCCTAATGAGACACATTTTGGCATCTCTGTGAATGCTGCTACCTGAAAGTAAAAATGAGGAAAAGAAGTTGTGATAGTCACATTCATGGCTTTCATAGAAAAATATATATTCCCTGAATTAGTCATATCAAGTGGTCATCATTCAATATGAATTTCAGTATTATAAACAAAATAAGACATTAATGGATTTTCTCTATTTCCAACACTATTTCAGAACTTATTAAAATCCCCATCATTGAATCCGTGGGTCCTAGTTTAAGTTGTTTTGCCTTTGGGGTTGTGAATTGTAAAGACTTACTTGCTAAAGTATTTGCTTCATTCAAAAGTCAAATAGGCTCAATGGCACTTCTTGAAATGTGCCTAATTTTTATTTTCTAATTTATTTATTTTTTATTACAGATGTCCCTGCTTTTTCCCCCCTTTGACAGCCTCCTCCCGGCTCCCATCCCACACCCTCTAATTTTTATTTTAATGACAACATAGTCATGGTGGTCTGAATTTTTATATTCTAAGAACCCTTAAAATTAGCAGGTTGAGATTTTGAATTTTTTTCATTCCTTTAGGATTTTGCTATAGACCCTGTACACTTCCCTTCACAGTTGGCCCTCCATATCCAAAGGTTCCACATCTGGGGATTTAACCAACCTCAAGTCAAGAATACTCTATTGGGAAAAAAAGAGTCACATTGTATGTAGTTAGGCCGTATGTAGACTATTTTGTCATTAGTCCCTAAACAACACAGTGTAACAACTATTTACATAGTATTTACATTGTATTAGGTATTATAACATAGAGATTATTTAAAGTATATGGGAGGATTGCATAAACTATATGCAACTACTATGCCGTTTTATAGAAGGGACTTGAGCATCTGTAGATTTTGGGTAGTCCTGGAACCAACCCCACCCCCAGGATACGGAAGGACTGTATTTTCTTCCTCTAGGGAATCAAGAAATTTCTCCAAGGCCCTTCCTTTCTGAAAAGGAATAATGTCATGAAAGGCCATTAGTCTTTTAATTCCACCTCTCCAACAACAGGCTTCACAAATCTATTTCCTGGGAGGAAGCCTTCCTAGGACCTACTCCGACTCCGGATTATGGCTTTCAGAAAATTCCTCGAAAGGTGCCAATGAAGGATTACCTCCAGAGCCAGGAGCAGAATGCAACTGCCTGTTTACTTGTAGCCCCCATTTCCAATCAACGTCTACATTTTCATCGCCACTACTGTGCTTTCTTTCTTTCCAGAATCTGATCTAAAACAAAAGCATTTTGCTATTAATATCTTCTAGCTCTTTTTCACTTTCAGAATTTATACTTGTATCATCCTCTTTATAAACATTCAGTAATTTTTTCTTAGCCGCAGCAGAAGCATTTCGATGGGGCAGTTTTCTGCTACTCTTCCTAATCCAGACATTTTCTGGTCCTGAAATGGTTTCCTTTAGATTACTCATTATCTTTATTCTATTTGCAGCAACAGTAGCACATCTGCGGGGAACTTTCTCAGGCACCATTTTTGCTTTCAGAGTGTCACTAGGCATTTGCACTGCATCCTTCTGATTATGCAAACATGTTCTCATTTTTGTATTGGGTTCTCTGTCTCTAGGAACAGATTCTGAAAAACGAGTGAAAGTTCATGTAAATGCAAAAAATCTTGTAACACAAGATTTTACTACTTACATTCCTCAACAATACATTCCTAAACAATAAATTGTAAAAGTACTCACATTGCTAAATGAATAAAAACATAAGTGATCATCAATACTACACATTTTTGACATTGATACAAACTTACATTTCTTTATCTGCAAATGGAAGTCTTGAATAGGAACTAAGGTGCCTCCACCTGGCATATTTTATACTCTGTAAGGATAATGGTCACTTAAAACAGTAGCAGACTTGTAAGAATGGGGTTAAGTACTTTCAGTGTCATAAAGCCGTTCATCTAAATTACGAATTTTTAAAACAGAACAATATATAGGTTTTAAGTTTTTGTTATCCCTTCTAGCACTCTATGTTGAACCTCTTTAAAATGTTCAATAGTTCTGAAATACCTTTCCTAGAACCTAAACAAGAAGGAAATGCCACCATGACATGACCCAGCGTTGGCTCTATTTCAAGATCCTTGTTAAGGTTTTAACTCTAATACCAGTATTTCCTTTGGTAAAAAAAAAAACAAAAAACAAACAAAACACCATACCATTAAATTGGTAACTAGTAGATAAAAAAGAATTGCACATTGGTTTTATTGAACTGAAATATGGTTTTAATCCTAGATTCATTTCCCCCCCAAATATTTGAGCAT